AAGACCCTGGTGTGCGAGTGGCGGCTTGTTCCCGGGCCGGGAATCGTGCCCTAGGCACCATTGCAGCCCCGGGATTGCTGCTGTGTCAGGTGGGTATGTACAACTGTATCCTCATGGATTATATCCCTGAGTGCCTGTGGCAAACGAAGACGTCTGCTCTTAAAAAGCAGAATGCTATTACAGGGTTTGGAAAATCCAACCTTTTAATTAGCCTTTGTTCTGTAGTTCTTGATCTTCTTTAGCTCATTAAAACTTAAAAAAAAATAAAAATAAACTTGTTTTATAGGCTGAGTTAGAACACATTTGCTCACTATTGTTAGAGCTCTGTGCAGATACAGATTTTGTATCTGCATCCATCCATGGATGCAGCTCCCCACGGATATAAAGTAAATATCCAGGTATTTACTGGGCTCTAACTGCTGTGCCCCCAGGTATTTGCTTCTGGATGGCTTTCTGCTACTAGGGTTTCATCTGCACGATATGAATGTCAACAGAAGGCACTAGATGTAAATGAGCAGCAATGGTACTGCTCTTGGAACAGATAAAGTGTAATTATTGAGTTTATTCCTGTATCTGTGCTGTGAAAATAGTCTAATTAGAACTATAGTTAAACTTCAGCTACATAAGAACAGCCATACTGGGTCAGACCATCAGTCCATCCAGCCCAGTATCCTGTCTGCAGACAGTGGCCAATTCCAGATGCCCCAGAGGGAGGGAACACAAGTAATCCTCACTTGATCCCTCCCCGTTATCCACCTCCAGAGAAATAGAGGCTAATAGATAGATTCATGAAGTATCGGTCCATCAATGGCTAACTCTTTTTTGAACTCTGTTTAAGTCCTAGCCTTTACCACATCCTCTGGCAAGAAGTTCCCTATCAATCTTACATAGAGAGCGAAGTGGACAGATGGGTGCACAGAGGTTAATTTCTAGGGCTGCTATTTCTTGCCCTTTGCTTTCAGTTTTTAGTAAAGATTTCCTAGCTTTTACTAAGCTATTGCATGTGTCTTTCCAATTTTGGAATGAATTCCAAAGGAACTTAGGATCATCCCAAACCTTACCACATTTCACACCTTGCAAGAAGCATTCCTTTGATCTTGCCATCTCTGCTATAAATAGGGTGAGAGTGAGAGAGTAAATTCCGAAAAGAAACACTACATACACGTCTCCTGGGAGAGAAAATAAAGAACAAACTGGTGACATGTTAGTTGGCATGCTTAATATATTACTGGAAGCTGCTCAGTTGCTATGGTGATGAGCATGATGTAAGAAATTATATAGAACAGAATTTAAATAGACAAGAAAGACAAAAGGAGAAAGGGGAATCTGAGGTATTGAGAAGAGATGTGCTTTGCCCAAGGTGATGCAGTACAACAGAGGCATAGTTAGGAATTGAACTCTGGTCTGTTTCAGTGCCTTATCCAATATAGCCATGCTACTTCCCAGTACATTGGTTTGTGGGTTTTAGTTATTTTTTCCCCTTAAAATGTTCCATGTGTGTTTTCAGTTAAGATGCCATTATAATAAACCCTGTTTCTGTCAGAAGAAACAATGTTAAAAATGAAAAGGGGAGAAAAGAGAAAAATTCCTCCATGTCTGATGAATTTCACTCCGCTTTGGATATTAACTGTCCATGTGAGGAATAACTGATCCCTTCCTCTTGCTTGTACTTCTAAAGAACAAACTTCTGCTTTTATGTGCATGACAGTGGCACAGATTTAAACAACAAATCTTTAAGGAGGTTCCTCCCAGTTCTGTTGGTTCCAACCAGTTCTGAACTGGCTACACTCAACTGGCCAAATAGCCACATGTAGCTAGTGGCTAGCATGTTGGACACCACACTACTAGACTCTTCTGTAAGGATTTTGTATTTGGAAAAGTTTTATTTTTGTAAGCCCATGTTGTCCTTCTGAAATGTCTCCTCAGATGCCTATGCAGGATTTATGATTCCCAAATCATGAATGTTAGGAGAGGCTTAATGAGAAACAGTTGCACTAGTGGTCTTGCTAACCTTGAAAATGTTCTAATTTCCTGTGACTTCTTATTGCTACTGATCTGATACCATCCTTTCCTGTTGTTCTTTGATAGGAGAGGCTGGATTTATTTGCTAAACAAGTTCCATGCTTTGAGCACCTCTCCAAGATGGAGCAAACTGCAGAAATTCAAGCTGAAATACACCAGGTAAAATCCTCAGTAGCAGGGTACATATTTCTGTATGATGACTAGTCCTCAGGGACTGTGAAATCTGATGTCACTTTGTTCCTAGTAGCATCCCATCAAAGGGGTTGGTTCCCTAGCTTCCACTGGGCAGAGCAAACACAGGACTTGTCCCTCCCTGCAAACTGCTCTAGCAGTGTGGGAGGACCAAATCCACCTTTGACTGCTGCCCTCTGCTGTCTGGGACTAGGTAGCAGACTGAGGTTCCTGGAGCTGGTGGAGGGTTGTGAAGTTGTAGCATATCTTCTCTGTGTTGTTGGAAGTGCCCCCATCAAAGGGGGCTTCCTAGCTCCAACTAGGCAGTGGCGGGACATGACTTGTCCATCTCTTGCATAGCTGCTGGGGATGACAAGAAACCAGACAGATCAACCTCTGAGTGCCCTTCTTTGCTGTAGGATACTCTGGGACAGGGTAGAAGCCTGAGGTTCCTGGAGCTAAGTTTGGGGCACAGAGTGCAGCACTTCCTGCAGCTGTGCAGAAGACAGCAAGTAGTGTCCCTCCCAGGACTAGCAGCTAGGAGCCCCCCTAGCTAGGTGACCACAGAAAGCTCTGTGGATGCTGCCTTCAGAAGGAAGCACAAAAGTGAGGGTGGCAATGCTATGATCCTTCCTCTCCGGTAACAGGTTTGTGACCCCACACACACAGTGTCCTTTAGGGTCAGGATCCCTCCATTACACCACCATGACATTTCAAGTTTAAACAACTAAAGTGAAATTTACCAATTTTCAAATTGCATGACTATGAAATTGGCCAAAATGGACTGTGAAATTGGTAGGGGCCTAATGATAGCAAGCCAGCATGCTGTTATTGACCTCTATACTGCCCATTCCATAGAACAAGCATATTTTTATGCTGTGTGTTTACCATTGTATAGTAGAAAACATAACAGGCAGAAGACAAAGAAAATGTAAAATATAATGGCAGGTGTTATTAGCAATTTGTAATTTTGTTTTAAACAGTTGGCAACTTTTCTCAAATTTAATACATTGTCACAAAGGAAAAAGAGACCCATATAAAATGCTTTTCTTCATAATAATTGGAAAGATGCAAACATTTATAGCCAGTAAGCAAACTTTATCTAAAACTTCTTGAAGAAACTGAGGAAACAGATCTGAACATCTGTTCTCCTTAGATCAGTAAACAGAAACTGGTGTTTCATGAGCTGCTGTATTTATAGGCAACTGGACCATTTCCAGCTTAACAAAATAAGGGTTTGTCTACACAGGGAGCTGTTCTTGGTTCTCTCAGTGTGTTGATATTCTTATTCTGGAATGAGTGCGCCTTATTCTGAATTACTTTAATACTTTTTGAATAATTTAGAATAAGATACATGGGAGTTAATCTTAATTTTTTTAAAATTCATACTCTACCTTATTCTGAATTAATTTTCATATGTATACAATCCCAAATAGTACCTTTCCGACAGTTTGATCCACTACTGCAGGGGTGACCAACCCGTGGCTCTCGAGCCGCATGTGGCTCTTTGATTAAAAAAATATGGCTCCTGCTGCTGCTTCTGAACCCCAAACCTGGACGGCTTAGGCTGGCCGCTCTGTACAAGGCACCCCAGCGCCTGCTCACAGCTGGCCGCTCAGCACACAGCATCCCAGTACATGCTAATGGCTGGCTGCTCAGCGCACATGCCCCAGCATCTGGAGGGAGAAGCACTTGGTGGCAGCGATGGTGGCTCCGGGACCCAGGCATTAGGTTAGAATGGCGGGGGGTGGGAGGGATTGAGTTAGAGCAGGAGGCTGGGGGTGCCTGGCTCTGAGGGAGAGGTGGAGAGTTGGGTTAGAGTGGAGGGAACTGGGGGTGCCTGGCATTGGGTTAGAGCAAGGGGGGTGAAGCACCTTAAACTCAAAGTTTTCATGGATACAGAATAAGGCAGCCAACACAGATATCATATTTAAATTCCAGGGCAAAAAAAGAATCAGCATTTACCTGGTTTACACTTGGGGTAGGTGCAGTCCATGGAGCCCTCTGGCTGCCACTATGTATAGGATCCATAGAGGGGCTGTGTTGGTGCTTCCATGAGCCATGCAGAGTAGGCTATTGTTTGCCAGGCTGAAGCAATTATTCTGAGATGAGTCTCTCCTTTATTGTTTTTGAAACTCTCATATTTGTGGTCTGGGATAGACCTGAATTTTTAGAACTATAAAAGAGCTATAATCTTAAGTGTTTTTGTTTTGTTTTGTTTTGTTTTGTTTTTAAGTAAACCATACCAGAGATCAACAAGCTGGAGTGAAACAGGCCCATCAAATTGTGCAAATTTACTTCTCAGTTCTATTTAATTAAAAAAAAAACTCACAGGATATAATAGGGCAGTAGTGTTAAATTTAAAATACATGATGGGAATGCTTTTTTTAGTGTGAGAAAATTACTGTCTTTTTAAAGGTGGGGTTTTTTTTTTTTTGGTAACACATTTGATGTTTGTTTGTTTCTTGTCAAGTTCTCTGAAGATCTATGGACTGGTCGTGATTTTTTTTTTTAAGTGACTAGAGACTTTTTGATTTTTTTTTTCCCTGAAATACCCTGTAATGTTGTTTTTATCACTAAGTTTTGTGTACTATATCTATTTACATAGAGAGAGAGATCTATAAAAATAAATATATATACATGGCTTTTTGCACTCTATCCATCGCTATTTTGGCTCTTCATCTCTAACTGGTTGGCCACCCCTGCACTACTGTCTAAAAAGGCTGTTACTTTTCAGAGAACTTAAATCTATTCTGAATTTTTCTTTTATTGCTGTGTCTGGTGGCAACGCTTACTTATTGAATTATCCAATGCATACATTAACAGCAAGAGCATCATGCCATCAAACAGTATTGCAGACAGATAAATGCCTATTGGTTTAGTTGAAGAGAAGGTTAGACCAGTGGTTTTCAATCTATTTACACTTGTGGCAGCCTGGCTAACATATTGCAATATGTTCCAACTAGTACAACAAGCAGCAGTTCATTTGTTTGGCAACACAGGGCATATGTAGACATTAGCCACATTCTGGACTGGCTCCCCATTGAATAATATCAAATTAGCTATCCAAAATCAGCATTCTGAGAGAAAGCTGTGTGTTGGAACCAGGCAACTTGTTTGTCTCCAGGAAGAGAATTGTGAGTGTTTTCAGGAACTGGACTTAGACAATGGAGCTCATTCCTAGAAGAAATAAAAATGATCACAAGCTTCACTGAATTCAGAACTAAATGCAAAACTCAATTCTTCATGCACAGGAATGCAACAACCATACAAACTAATCCATTTTAAAAAACTATCTTATACAGACCTAGAAGGAAGGATGAATGTGGTATTCTTATTTTAAATACGTGGAACGCACTCCTATCTTGTGCTAAGATGTTAGGGGATATCCACAGATATATATATAGGTAAATAGAAAGTAAACCATTTGAAAATCAAGTGTATCTATTTTATGCCTTTTGTAGAAGAGTCTGGAAACTGAAATCCTGAGACTGGAAAAGGAAACGGCAGATATTGCTCACCCATACTTTCTGAGTAAGTCGCTTTGTTCAGGGGAACAGTTGTTAGTTTTAGTCTCTCTGACCTAGTGGTCATCCAATGTGTGTCACCTCCACTGAGTTCTCTGTTTCTCATCACCACCATTGCACTTGTCATCCACTGGTGTGTAGTGGCCCCTGAAACTCTCATGGGTGATCAGCCAATAAAGGGTGCTAGCCTAGAAATGCAACTAGAACATTTCACATCGCTAGTGACCAGGTGTATGTCCTTTGTGGTATTCCACAGAATATCTTGGGCCCTGAAGAGCGCAAGTTCTGAGAACATTCATAAGCCATTGTGCCCCAGCAGTGCTGTACATAAATCTGTTGCCTTCCCAATAAGTCAGATGTATGTACTTTTTTTTCAAATGTAATGTCATTCAGAAGAACCTTTTGGAATTTTATTTTGGTAGAATAAGGGGGGGGATTGATTCCTTCAATATTTCTCCATCTTTTTGCTTTATCTTTATGGGTCTTTTTTCTTCATCACCTCAACACATCCCTATAGGAAATTTTTATTACTAAAATACCACAGGGTATGAGTATAAGTCCTACATAGAGCTGTCAGATCCCTTAAAATAGGAGAGGGCAAACTTTTTCGCCCAAGGTTGACATCAGGGTATGGAAATTTTATGGTGGGCCATGAATGCTCACAATATTGGGGTTGGGGTGTGGGACAGAGTAAGGGTTCCAGCAGTGGGTGCAAGCTATGAGAGATGGAGTTGGGGCACAGGAGGCAGCTCTTGGCTGTGACCAAGGGCTTTGGAAGGTTGAAGGGGGATCAGGGCTGGGTCAGGGTCTTGGGCGGGCAGGCTCCAGGTGGTGCTTACTTCAAGCAGCTCTTGGAAGCAATGGCATGCCCCCTTCTAGCTCTTACGTAGAGGTGCTGCCACACAGCTCAGCGTGCTGCCTGGACTGTAGGCACAACCCCTGCAGCTCCCATTGCCCAGGGTTCACAGCCATTGGGGTCTGTGGATGCAGCACTTGGGGTAGGTGCAGTCCATGGAGCCCTCTGGCTGCCACTATGTATAGGATCCATAGAGGGGCTGTGTTGGTGCTTCCATGAGCCATGCAGAGTAGGACAAGTCCTTAACCTCATTCCCCAGCAGGAGCTCAGGGGTCATGTTAAAACATCTGACAGGTCTTGTGTAACCCATTGGGCCATAGTTTGCCCATCCCTGCCTTAAAACCATGTTGGTTAGTAAAGGGATTTTTTTTTTTCAGGACTAATCTCCTGAGCCTCTTTGGAACATATCCTAATATTCCTAAATCATTCAACAGGAACTAGTCTGGTTACTGTTTTCATCCTAGAGCATGATTCCATCACTTTCAGAGTGAAAGACTGCTGGAAAATCTGAATCAACTGTCATGCAGAATGAGTTTCTGCTTTTGCACCATTGGTTAAACAATTTGCAGTCAGCTTTCTTTTGATATTTCTCTCTGTTGTGTAGCTCAGAAATGCCAAGTTCTACAAGCTATGAATAAACACTTGGAAGCAGTCCTGAAAGAGAAGAGGACTCTCAGGCAGAGGTTAATGAAGCCCTTGTGTCAAGAGAACTTGCCTATTGAGGCCATATTCCACAGGTGAGCTCTTAGAAAGTAGCTCCTAGCATATTGTCTGCACATGCTGTATTCATGTCCAAATAAACTACTTTTACCTAATAATCACTCCCAGTGTGGGAGCACAACTATATTGTTACAAAAAGTTGCTAAAGTAAACTGTCATGTTGCTAATCTAATTCTTCTATACCTAAATGCCATAATTTTTTCAGTGTTGTCCATTTGGACCTCCTTATTGGAGACATTATCATTATCAGTATTAGATATGTGGTAAAACTTTAGAAATTTCAAGTAAATTATTATTGTAGAGGCCACAAAATGCTAGAAAAACTGGTTTAAAATTTGATAAATGGGCCTTCTTAAGATACTATTTAATCTATTAAATGAAATCACTGAAACGTTCATAAAAATCATGTATAGACCCCTTTAAATTATGGGTTTGGGAAGGAAGTATTTTCTTGTTCTTACAAAATCCAATGGAATAAAACCTTAATTTAACTGCATTTTTCAAAATAGTATTAGCAGTATAGTTAACTAGTATTTCCATAATGTAGCAGCTGGCAGTAGGCTGCTCTTACGTAATGCTAGTTGACTTGAGACTTGGACTGAACTAATCTGAAGAACAATCTCGGTGTTAACTGAATAACTTTAACCAGGACAACGCCCATATCTGAGATTTATTTTGACATATGGATAACTATTATATGCATTACTGAGAAGAATGGGGAAAATTTGATGGTAACAGACTTACTTCTAAAAGCTGGATGATTTTGTTACTAGGGAAGACCTACAAAGATAATGTCTCTGTCCAATGGTTATAGCCACTTTGTACTTTAAAGACCCTTATTGAAAAGGCTTAGTGAAATCAGACTGAAGTGGAACCATATGATGTGGGCAGGTTTCTGTGAAAGGCCCTCAGTGAGGGTCTGCAGGAGACCAGGTTCTCCAAAGAAATCAATGTGAAGGCCCAGTGCTCTGTACCGGAACAGAGAAGGACACACAACAGCTACGTAGGAGCTGAGAATGGTACTCCAAGGGAACCAGCCAGGGGAGTCAAGTGCTGTATCCCAGAGACTCCTAAAGGCAGCCTAGCCTGGCTGTGAACATAGTCCAAATGGAGCAGAGAAGAGAAACCCCCCAAAGAGCAGAAGAATCTTCTTGTTTGTTGAGAC